TTCCTGCTGCCACCTCCAGGGGTAGCTTGTGCTGTGCTCCAGGCGAGGGATGGTTAGTTTACGTAATCTGTAGTAATTATTTCTCACTCTGAAGTTTTGGTACTTGCTGAATTTCTTTTAAAAGTTTATATGATTTAGATAATGTAAATTGAAAAATAGCAGGCTAATAAGAAAAAGAAATGTAATTACAAGCCTGTAATTCCAGATGAGTCTTCAGCATCACAAATCACAGTTGAACAAAGTATCCAGACACCTAATTGTGAATTCAGTTCCTCCTAATAATATATTAATCCCATTCTGCCTGTCCTCAGCACAGAAGAACATTGGGTATCATTACTGATTACGTTTGCAAAGCAGCCAGCTAATGGAAAAGGGATGAAAATATTCTCTTGACCCCATGCAATGAAGGTATCATTGGCATAAAGGTTAAATTCAAATCTAGAGTTCATTGTTAGTTGAGATTGATACTGGAAAAATATTTTTAAAAGCAAGATTGTGGCCCTTTTCATTCCATTGGATTTTTGAGCATTCAGAAAGTGGATACTTATTGATTACCAAATATATAAATATCTTTCACTTCTTCCCTTATAGTGCTGGATACAATTTTCCTTCTAGGTTCTTTCAAGCCCAAAAGGCTTGTGGTGTAAGTGCTCCTTTACCACAAGGACATGTTAGAAGACCAGTTAGAAGGTGAAGTTCTGCCCAAACTGTGATCAGCTATGTAAAGAGTTTCCAGATTACTGTTTGCTTGTAAGAGTTGATACTTCTGCAGTATTTGCTGTAACACGATCAGAATTTCCACAGTCACCAAATAAGCCCTAAAGAAATGATCTCTGTATTTACAATTATGTATTAACTATGTCTAGAAAACTAGTATGCTTTTTCAGAAGGAAAAATAAGTTGTCCTTAGTGACATCAAAACTGAATAAAAATGAAAGAAATAAAATACAGATTAACAACTTTATTTTTAAAAAATATGAATATACCTATTAAGTAATTGAGAAGTTTCACTGGCAGTATGAACATATGCTCCCACACCAGCAGAATGATGCTGTCAGTGTGAAATACCAGAAATAAAATGGGGTTGATTGTTTATTTTATTTCAGCTTTCAATGTTACCAGTTTTAAAAACAATTTTGCACGGGTCCGAACGCAGTTTATGATGCTGTGGTGACTCCTTTCTTTTTTTTGCCTGCTCTTACTCCACTCTCTTACAGCGCCCTTTGTGTTGGAGGCAGAGGGTCTTCCAAGCCGAGAACCCCCAGAACGGCAGCTCCTGGCGGGGTGAGGTGTGTTCGCTGGGGACCCTAACGCTGTTGTTTGTTCCCCAGGCGAGGCGGGGCCGCCGGGCCCCGGGCACCGTCCCGCTGCCCTCCCGGGTACCGCGGCCGCTCCCGCAGCCCTGCCCGCCGGCTGCGCGGCCCCCCCCGCAGGTTTGTCCGCGCCTGGTGTCTCCGTTCATTGTCCATCCACCGAGTGGCACTGTTGTGTCGGGAGAGGACGGGCGGCTTCGCTCCACCGCTGCCTGGCTGCCTTGCCCGTGGCCCTGCAGTGACATTAAAAGCCCTGCGTTTGCTTTGTGCCTCGTAGTCCATTTCGCACGTTGTCATGTGGGGCGATTGGGTCATCAGTGTCTCTGTTGGTTGTGTTACTTCTCCTAGGAAGACAGGGAGAGAGAGTTGGGGTTGCTCAGGCTGGAGAAGAGACTCCGAGGAGACTTTTTAGCACCTTCCAGCCCACGGGAAAGCTGGGAGGGGCTTTTTACAAGAGCTCGTTGGGTATGGGCTGGGGAGAACGTTTTCAAATTGCAAAAGGGTAGATTTATATTAGATATTAGGAACAAGTTCTTTCCTGTGGGGGTGGTAAGACACTGGAAGAGGTTTTCCAGGGGAGTTGTGGATGCCTCCTTCCTGGAAGTGTTCAAGGGCAGGTTGGATGGGACTTCGAGCATCCTAGGCAAGTGGGAGGTGTCCCTGCCCGTGGCAGGGTGTTGGAAATTGATGAACTTTAAGTTTCCTTCCAAAATAAACCTAGACTCTGTGATTCTGTGATACTTCCCTATTGTTTGAGGCAGGTATTTTGAGTTGAACATCTACCTTAATGCACTCGACTGAAGAGGAGCTTACCTCCCTCGGCCTGATATAATAAGCATTCAGATTTGTGTGATGAGATGGTTTGAATAAATTTTCAAAGTACTGGAAGCCTTTGTTCCAATTTCAGTGTGGGAGAAAAAGGGAAACTAATTTATCCGCAGTTTAAAAGTTTTATAAAACTCGCATCATTCCTTTTGCAAATTTTAATACTCTACATCCTGACTATGGCAAATGCAAAGTAATAGATGAGCACATGTGAATGGTTTTGAATTATATATCATGCCTTCCTTCTGTTCTTCTTGGTATCTTTGTCCTTACTCTCCTTATAGCTATGAAAGCTGTTCTTTTCCTCTGTAGGAGCCAAATAGAATGAACCATGAGTTTTGTATGCCTTTTGTGCATCTTCCTATGACTTCTTCTCTGTTGTAGTAGAGACCTTCAAAGTGCATTATTATCTCCCTTATAACTTAGCTCAAACTTGCATCTTGCTTTTCTTGCCTTTTAAGTCTTCTCCGCTCTTCTCATCATCACCTTTCACTTTATTACAAGTCCTTTTTATTAATCACATTATATTTAAAATTTCCTTCTTTCAAGGCACTGCGTGTCTCCACCCTCTGCCCTGCCAGCAATACTAACAATTTAGTCCTTTTTCCCACTACCACATCCATGTGTTTTCCAAATGTTTGTGAGACAGCTCGTTTGTATCCCTGGGGCCAGCCCCAGGGTCTTTAGCAACAAGCATGTAGTGAGCCAATTGGAAGTCAGCACATGGAAGTAACACTACTTCTTTCTGCCTCAGAAGTGGATATATTTTTAGTTCATTAAATCCTGTGCATCATTACAGTGAACTATTTATGCGTTTTAGTGTTCATATATATAATTTTTCAGACATCCTGCACAGTAATGTGTTCTGACTCCTGCTTACTTCAGGGATCCTTAGCTACTTGTTCTGTGTGCCTTATGAGCATTTGATTTCCATGCGTGGAGTTTCTTCACCCTGTTTCCTATAGGGCTTAGGACCTTCTGGTATACAAGTAGATAATCAGAGATTAGATTTCTCTGCTCTTCTTTTAAGGAGGCATAATGTATTTATCTGAGATTGATAGAATGGGCAAAGGAAAATGGGACTTGGATTCAGTGATTCAGACATTATTGTAATCCTTCCAACATCTGAAATCTCTGCATTGGTGCTACAACATTATTTTTAAAAGTTCCATGAAGGTTATTAATGCCTCAGAAGTCAGTGCACACATCTGAAAGGCTTCTAAAACATCATGGTGTCTTCAGTTAACTGCTCTTGCAGAAGGTCCACTAAACTTCTGTGTTAGGAAAATGCCAGGTGGCTTTTCTTTTACATTACGCAAAATATTTATGATTGGTGTGTCTTGTCTTTCAGCTTTCTTATTTTACAGTTGTAAAAGTGACAGCTCCTCTGGAAATTGGAAAAGCCTATTACAATCCAAGAACTCTGCTTTATGACTTGCAACACGCTGTTGTTATTCATAAGTCCTGTTCTTTCTGTCTTCTTAATCACATCCCCAAATAATCCACAGTCACAGTGGTGTTCATGGGGCTGGAGCCAGAATAAAAATTTAGTGTTTGCTGATGGTAATTTTCTCATATTCGCTTGTTCAGGCAGAAGGATTGGGGGCATCCTAAGTTTTCTTCTTAGCTGGGTATAAAGCATGCACGAAGAGTATTTTTATCACTTCTGTTTTACTGAATCTCTATCTTAGTTTCATTACATGCAAGTAGCTGCATGTTCCATTCCTCTGAACTGTGATCCATCTTTTGAAGTGTAGCTGTTTTGTAAGCAAAGTAGTGGCCATAGAGATGGTTCTCTGTCTTTTCAATGTCATATTTTGGACTTTTTTCCTTGGAGCTGAAAGGCAAACACAGGTTCCTCAAATACGTCCATCTCTCAATGTTATTTATTCAATTTTACCACGTTCTGCTGATTTGCAGGTGTAGTGGGTTAACATAGGCCATCCAATGGAGGAGTATGTGAAAAACATCAATTGCTCATTGTTTTGTTGGTTTTTTTGTTGTTGGGTTTCTTTTAATCTTGATTCTGTGTAGAAGATATCTTCTAAATACTACAATGAGAAAGAGAACCCATTTAGTCTGATTTATACATTATAAAATATTTTTTCATTATAGTTTACTCTCTCCACTAGATGGATTTTTTTATGTTTACCATTTAAATGGGCTGCTCTGGCTTAGCTTTGTGAATTTCTTTTATAAATGCTTTGTTTATTAAAATACGTAATTTCACCTGTTCCTAAACTATTTTTAAGTTCTATGTACTGTAAAACCACACCTACATTGTAAATTGCCACTATAAAATGCATAAAAGGTCCCCTCCTTAAATAAAGGCAACTGTAAGGATAATGGTGTTTCCATGTGACATGATTTTATCCTAAAATTAGAAATCTGAAAACTTCATATGACTGGATTATGCCTGTTTGCTGTGCAGTGTTTTCTCCTTTTCCACCTCTGGAATTATTTACAGAAGTAGAGATTCATGTGCACCTGATTAATGCATATCCCATTTCTCTATAAAGAAGGCAAAAGTTAAGCAAGATCTACAGTCTCCATCTCCTGCACTTAAAGGAGGCTGCTCAGACTAAGTGGTAGGTGATAAGTGACTAGAGGAGGGCTGGGAAGAAGCAGTAATAATGCAATTGAATTAAGTTGGTGGAAAGAAAAGAATATATAGAGGAAAATGTTGGAATAAGAAAATTGTAGAAGCAGAAGCAGCAACGAGGAGGGATTTGAAGAGGAGGAGGAAGACAGGAAGGTCCACAGGAGTATGAGAAGCAGGACATAAAATGTAGGAGAGTCATGGGAAAGATGAGCAAAATAAGGCAGCAGAGAATGAAGAAGAAGATGCAAAGCAGTTTATATGCCAGATTTCTTCCAGGAAACACTGAGAATCTTGGATTTTGTCCTTTTTGGTCTGTTTTGTCACATCTTTTTATTCTTTGCTTGTTCAATCTCTTTACTTTTAATATGCTTCTTGTTAATAGGACATTCTAAATAGATCTGTATTTATTCCCTTAAGAAAATGGGGCTTGCTGGTTTCATGGTGCTGCAGCTGTGCAATATATGCTGTGTAGGTCAAACACTGAGGACAACTTGGCTCCAGCTTTGTGTCCACCCAGCAAGTAGCCAAGCACAGCACTGCTGACTTCACGCAGTGATGTCAGGACAGTTATTGTTCTAAATCTTAAGAGTCTGAATGAAGATGGCTCTATATGAGTAGATTTTGCTAGTTGTTGCCTTTAGTTGAAAATGTTTCATCTCAACAGAGGGCTGGTCTCCTTTTGTATCTGCATATTAATTTCTTTCTGTGTTTTCTGCAGCCTTTTCTGTCTCTATTTCATTTCTTTGTCTTTTAGTTTTATTTCTCTGGAAACCTGTATCATGGAGGAAGATCACAGTGCTTGATGAAGGGGAGACTAACCCACTCCAGAAAAGGAGTTAGTTTTGTATTTTTAGAATATGTGGTGCATCCACAATGACAAAATACAAAATAGATTGCAAGATCCATGCAATACTGTGTGACATCTCTGTGAGTAAAACTGGTGAAAAGGGTTGGAGCAGCTCAGAGCAAAGAAGGATAAACCACTGTAGTCTGCAAGGAAGGTGGTTTCAAATTCTGTCAGAACCTTGCAAAGGAGATGAAGCTGCACCTGTGATACTGAATTAGTTTTGGTGGATCACGTTTGATGCTATAGAAGGTAGCAGGAAAACACACCCAAAAAAAGGAAGAGGGAGAACATAGACTCAACAGAATAGCCAACAAAACTAGAAAAGAGGAGAATTCTGGAGCTGTAGTTTTACATGCTATTTTACTTTTTTCAGAAAGGAAAATACTAGAAATGCATTGTGTTGTGCTGGGTTGACTTCCTCATAAATCTAACTGCAGGGTTTTTTAAAATTAACATCTGTCCTAATGCAGTGTTTTCTTAATGAAAGTTTATGTAAACTGACATCTTAATTGCTTTTTTCTTCTGGAGCTAATTGAAGTAAAGTTTTAAGTTCAATATTTCAAAACACTTTGTGGACTTTAAGTGCAAGAAATGGTCCTTCTCGAGGACTGCCAGACTGCACACTGTGTCATGGAGAAGCAGCCCAGGCACTTAGCCAGATGTCTTTGCTAAGAGAGTGGACAACACTAGGTTCTTTTGAAAGGCTGCATGAAATGAAAATAAATAACTATTGAGTAAACTTCATCAAAATGTTTTCTTAGGTAGCAATGGCCTGAATGTTTGAAACATGAGAACTTACATTCCTTCCGGAAATTAACTTTTTCCTATTGTAGGTCTAGATATAGTCATCTAGATCCACAGTGTCTAACTCATTCTTGGAATCTGACATTCTTAGTTTCTTTGCCAAGTTTTATAGTTTTATTGAGAGAAAAAGGATTTCCCTTCCAGTCTTGAGGACATCAGGGGTTTTTTTAATTACAAAATCATCCATTTTCTCATTATGCCGCACAAAGATGATCCTCAATCTATGGACATGATAAGAGTATACATACTCAGATCATCTTTTATGTACATATATATATGTGTACATATATGTTGTTTATCGTATATGTATACTCACTATATGTGATGTGTTTGTGTATATATCTATATATACATTAAGATTCAGTATCTTTCTGTGATACAAAACTTGAGTTCCGTGTATGTCAGAAGAGTCCTTCAGTCTCACAATGCATGCTGACACACTTCAGCATTTCATTCTGTGTTGGGCTATCTGTGAATCTCAGTGAATGTCAGTTAAGACAAGGAAATACTTACAGGGAGAAGAGACTGCCCATTGATTAATTCTTTTGTTACTTTGTGTTTGCTTTACAGGCCAAAGCTCAAAAAACATCAGCTCATCCCCAAGCATAGAGAGCTTGTGTGGAGGACGTGAATTTACAGGATCTCCACCTCTGTCTGCATCAAAAAAGGATTCCTTTTTCAGTACAATCTCCCGCTCCCGTTCCCAAAGCAAAACTATGAGCAGAAAAGAATCGGTGAGTTCTTTAACTTTTTTAGCTGTTTTAATGTCACACTGCATTACTTGTTAGAGCCCATAATTTCTCTCATTCATTAAACACTTGCACTTCAGAACATTTCCCTAAGCACACATTAACAACAAAAGCAGAAATAAGCAGTTTCAACTGTTTCCATTGAGTAAAATCTCCATTATGTCTTCCATCACATAATGCTACCTGAAATGAAACTGTGAAGGTGCCTGTTACCCCTGAGAAGGGAGATAATGCTGGTAAATGTATTTTCTTTGTTAGACTTTTGTTGTAATCCTGAGGGTAATAAACAGTTCAGTGGGGAGCATGAATGCTCAGCAGATCCAAACATGTCCATCTGTTGTCCCTGAAATTCCTTAATACATCAGAGGTTTCCCAGTGACCGTAGCATCTGTAGTCTGCAGTCACAGTTCTATTTCTTGCACGCCCTGACCTTCCATTTGCCCACAAGATACTATTATTTAAACAGATCATTTTCATCCAAGAAAATCAGCTCTTACCATGGGTGTGTTCCAAAGAAATTCTTGTCTCATCAAAGATATTTTAGGAGCACTGCTTTGGTAAACTCATATGTCATGGAATGGGGGGATTTGTTTTTATTTTATATACACATTTCCCATTGTTTTTCTGCTGATTACTAACCAGCTGTGTAGTAGATAGAAGAAGTTTGTCAGGTGAAGGCACAGTGATTTTCTCTATTCCAGTTTCACAAATGTGTGCTTATCTAACTTCCTGTTGATTTCAATAAATCGGAGCTGCAGTAGCAGTATTTCTGTATCGCAGCATTCTTCAGGTGTTCAGAGGTGAACTGTGTGCAGAAGTTCAATCTGAACATGTCAGCGTTTTTGTCTTTAACAGCAGAATCTTTATTAAGTCACATCATATTTTAAATTTGATACTTAAAATGTTCCAATGAAATGCACAACTTTGTTCAGTTTTTGTTTACTGAGAGGATTTAATTCTTCCACATGCTTTAATTTTGCCTAAAGAAAAGCGGCTTTTTGTGGTTAGTCAACAAGAATCTATAATTTTGGTTTGTGTCCATCTAAGACTTTGAATTGAATTCAAACAAATTCAACAAACTAATATCTTGTCCTCATGAGTTTAAGAAAAATAAATATACCAATATTTAATTTTTCTTTTTATGTGGTTTAACAAAATTCATTTACAATGATTTTTTGGGCCAGAACGTGAGATTTTGCACTAGCGGAGTTTAAGAATAGTTCCTCCTTAGTTCTCTAATAGGCAACACAGAAGAATTTCCTTTATAACATTTGTACTCAGTTAGAATCCATTAATGATTAACATGGTTTTCAGGGGACAAAAAATCCCAAATTTGTGATATTTTATTGATGCTTTTTTCAGGGATTTTGGCCAAAGAAGCATTCATTGGAAAAGATTTGTACTCCTTATGGTTATTTTCAGCAGATTTGTAATTGCAAGAAACTGAGCAGAGCATAAATTTTCAAAATAATTCTTTGAACTGTGACACATACTTTATATTGCATCATTTTATGATTAAACAGTTAGAAAAAGTTTCAGGGTACCAAACTCTTATTTCCTTATGTTCTCTTTTTGCCTAACCTTTAACATAGGGAAAAGGAATTAGTAGGAGCTCCAAGAGGAAAGGGTTTGTTTAAATCTCTTCTCTGTTACTCAAGACGATGTTTAGTTTTTGTTTTCCCGTGAATTTCATGATACCTGGTTTTCCATGTAAAAAAGAGAACATGAGGTCCCAAAATAGTTGCATCAGATTACTCCAGTCTCGTAGTTGCTTCATATCCAGCAGTTTTCTGGATGCAAAAAACAACCTGAAAACATAATGGGTTCACATGTTTGTTTTATTTCTAAAGCCAAACTGGTTTACATTTTTATGTTTGTCTCTAATAACTATACAATTATGTTGTTAAGGATTGGGAAAATTACCTTTGTTGGAACGTGGCCACACATGAATCACTTTATAAAAAGATGCTTTTTAAATCAAGCTTTTTAAATCAATCATTCTTTGTGTAACGAATGAAAGAGAATCCATTTCCCCTTCATCTTTGTATTTCTGATTAATGCCCTCTCCAAGCAAAGTGGAAATGGCACACAGACATAAAAATACATCCTTCAGCATGGAATTAAAAAAAAGTTATTTTTATAGACCTGAGAGCATTACTGTAACATTTACAGAATCATAGAATCTCCATCCTTGCAGATATTCAAAAGCCATCTGGACATAATCCTGGTGACCCTGTTTGAGTAGGGGGTTGGACAAGATGACCTTCAGAGGTTTCTCCAACCTCCGCCACTCTGATTCTGTGACAGGATAAGCTGGAACATAACGTGTCCAAATGCTTTCTTTCCTAAAGCCTTTCCTAAATCTGGACTTTCTCTGGAAGAGCAGTAATCAAAATTGATCAAAGCCTTTCCTAAATCTGGAAAGATTTCTCTTTCTCTGGAAGAGCAGTAATCAAAATTGATAATCAACTTGATTTATTGCCTCCAGGAATAGGATGTGTGCATTTCTCATATTAAGGACTTCTTAAGCTAGTAACATTTGCATTATATTTAGTCTTCTAGAGGTTTTTTTCCTCTCAAATGCCAAGATCAATGGAATTACTTTTTTACTGGTGTTGTCAGAAACAGATGGCCCCTGTTTTATTTAGTTAAGGAAGTGAACCTACAGCCTCAGGGCTGAATGCACGGTATCAGATCATGTTTTGGCAACCCATGGGAGCCTGATGTTTTTCATGTTACTGCTGAGTGGCACTCCATGGTATATTACCTGAGGCCCACCAAATGTGTTTGACTGTGCTCACCAGTGAGATGGTTCTCTACCTCTTTATATATTTTGTGGCTTTCTGGCAGGAATAACAGATTGCCATTTTTGGAGCTGTCTTCTCATGAACAAGAGTGGGAACATTTAATATATAATGCCCTCCAGTGCTCATTATCTTCTGGCTGATCAGCCTTGCCTGGAACAAAGTACAAGAAAATTTCCTCTCATAGCCTGCCTACTGCCCTCTGCTTTTTGGCAGAGTTGGGAAATGGGGTCCATTTGTGGTCCATTTATTTCTCATTATGTTTTAGTTTTATCTCCAGCAACTGTTAAGGATGTTACCACTCTTTCTGGCAAACAGCAAAGTTGCTTAGATGTTAATCTGGGCAAATATGGTTGGCTGGTCTCACTTTCTGGAGAATATTCTGTAAATTGCTTTCAGCCATAGACGTGTGCCAGAGAGGGAACTTTGAGTCGAACAATATGAACATTTTAAAACTTTCACTAAACAAAAGCAGGAGAAAGGTGGTTTTGATGGGAAAGAAAGGTTTTATTTGAAAAAAATAATGTATTTTAATAATTCACAGTGATTTCTACATAAGGTGTTTCAAATTAAGAGAAATCTAAGTATCTATTTGGAAAATATATGAGTTTAAAAGTTCCTGAGAAGGAACTATTTCTCAGGAAAACCTGGAGAAGTTTTTTGGATTTGTTGGGGGTTTTTTTAATAATTTACAAATGGTCAATCAGAATCCTCGTTTCTTAGCAAAAAAAATCCTGACACAAGAGTGTCATGCATCATGCTGGTTTTGATTGCATAGACTTTTTAATTAAATCAAATTTGACAACATATGTCCCCACAAGCAGGTAAAAACAACTGTTACTGTCTATGATGTTTGACTGATCTGAAGTTGTGAATACCTCTACAGGTTAGAAAATTAACATATGCCATTATTTGCAAGTAAATGGGCATCTGCTCTACTGATTTAGGAGCCTGATATCAAGCATACAAGCTTGAGAGTTTTGCTCAAGTAAAAGTAGTGTAAAAAATCAAAGAGATAATAAAATAAATACCAGACAACCACACACACACACACACAAAAAAAAAAGTCATGCATGCCAAAATTCCTTTGAAGAACAGCATGCCTTTTGTGCATGGTACACAACTTGGAGACTTCTTTAATTCCCATTTATCTCTTCCATGACTATTTTTTTTAAATCTTTTGAAAGGTTTTGAGCAAAAGAGTTGTCAGTCCATGTTTACCCATGCCAAACATTTATTTGGAAATACAAATGCTGTGATGAAATGTCTTTTTTTTTAGTTAAGCATCATAAAATGTGCCTAGAATAAGTTAGCGTCTGTGTACAACAGCCAGTTGATTGCCTGATCAATGTGTTGGATTTGTTAGGCCTAAAGTTAAAGATACAACAATTGTTCACAGTGCCATTAAGTTTTGTGAACTTCAGTGCCTTAACATTGAAGAGGAGTTAGTAGTATAAGGCATTTCTGATCTGATAGACACCTGAAAACTGCAAGTTATGTAGTACTTCGGTGCTTGTCTAATTTTAGGGACAGATGAAAAGAATATTAAATCTGAGATGCTGCCAGTTCTATGAACACAGTTTGTAGAAAAACCTCTGAGATTTTTTGGAGGAGTGATTCTTTTCTCCATTGCCTTCCTCAGGCTCTCACGACACCCTGTAATTCAAGTGAAAGAGCAGAAAACAATACAAGGAAAAATAAGTTGCCTTTTAGAGTTTTTTTTATTATAAATACTTGCAAGTTTCATATAATTTAGTAAAACGACAGCTGTGTGCATGAGTGGCAGCTTTGAATCCTAATGCTCCTTATCTTTTTTGGAGTGATTCATTTCAGGGAAGAGAAGCTGTACTGTGATAAAAACAGGAAGTTAATTGCTTAGAAAAAAGATGAATAAAACCCCAAGTGGCTCTGCAGCGCTTTTTCTGTCATATTATGAGCAATAAACATGTGTACAGAGCAGATCTGTGGGGCCATTTGGAAGATTTTTAAAATGTCAATGTAAACTGTTGTCTTTCTCTGGTACAAGCGATTCCGATACGTGCAGCTGAATTATACTTGCCAGTAACTTCTGCACAGAAGCAAATTGGAATGATGTCATCGAAGGAAGGCAGTAAGAACTTTTAAAATTATTGGGCAGCCATTTAAATCTGTCATTAAAAAATACCAAAATCATGAATGAAT